CTCTCGCGAGGTGGATTCACGTCCTTCGCGCCCCGGAAGCTCGCCCCGAAGCCCCTGCTGGGCAGCGCCCACCGCGCCAGTCTAGGAGTCGCGGCCTCTGCCCGGTGCTGGGACACCTTCCTCTCACCACTTCGAGTCCTCCTGCGGTCTCCTTCGCGCCCCAGGCGTCGCCCTGAGCACTCACTGCTTCCCTGACCCTCGCTGGGAGAGAGAAGGCCCTGCCCTGCGACAGCCACTGGAAAATGTGCTCTTCTGGGAAGTGGCGTCTCATTCCATCCCCTTCCCCGTCAGTGAGAGAGACCAGGAGAAAGAAAGCGGCAGAGGAAATCCAAAAACTTAGAACAGACTGGGGGAGGAACAGAAACAGATGGCAAAGGGAGGGTGCTGGAGGGACTTTGCAGAGACCGAGAAAGGAAAATACCAGGGGGAGAAAAGCAAATAGAAAATTCAAGAGAGGGCTAGCCTGTTAGAGCAGTGGTTAAGCCAGGCCGATTCCACACAGACAGTGGTTGGAATTCCAGCCCTGGTGGCCCAAAAAATATACTTGTGCCTGCACGTTTGTGCCCAGAATTCTGATGGGTGGAGAAATCGAAGCAAAAGGATTGCGGGGTGACTGTGCTCTATTGGAGAGCACTTTCCCCTACCACCTCCTCACTGGCAAGCATGTGTACCCTCCAGCAATACATTTTTTTTTTAAAGAAAAAAAAAATCCCGAGGGGTGAGAATTCTGATGGGTGGAGAAATCGAAGCAAAAGGATTGCGGGGTGACTGTGCTCTATTGGAGAGCACTTTCCCCTACCACCTCCTCACTGGCAAGCATGTGTGTACCCTCCAGCAATACATTTTTTTTTAAGAGAAAAAGAATATCCAGAGGGATGAAGGAGAGCAAAATAGAGAGGGACCCTTGATTTGCGATAGGAGCTGGGGCAAGGGAATGGGGGATGTTGCAGTCAGTCACGGGAGAAGGTGAAGAGTTTGGGGCTGTGGCAGACCAACCTGTTGCTGGAACTGAAGGAGGTGCCATGGGTGACAGAGACAGTACAGGGAAAGACAGCAAGAAGGAAGCCTAAGGATGAGGAAATTCCAAGAGCAGAGACGGGATGTATCAGCGGAAGAGTGAACAGAGATGGGGGAAGAAAGAGGCAGAAATACGTGAATATAGGGGACAGTCAGAAAGATTGGGAAGAAAGAGCAACAAGAAGTGGAACAGGTGAGCTGAATGGGGCAGACAGTGTATGAAAAGGAACAGAGGGAGAAAGGGCAGGATAGGAGAGGGGTACATAATGAGGAGCTGAAACTCAGAGAGAGACAGAAAAATGCAAAAAGAGATAGATACACAGAAGGGGAGAAATGCACAGTAGTGCAGAAAGTGGGTGGTGGGGACCCACATCAAGATGAGTGGTGAGTTGAACAGTGGCATCCTTCCTTCACTATGTCTCAAGACAAAATTCCCACAAATTTACTTTTCAGATCTTATTGGCTTTTATTTGTGGTTTTAGAATCAGGAAACACCTCATTATGTTCCATGAGCAGACCAGAGGAGGATGGCTTAATAGAAAAGGCTGAAGAAAATAAAAACGGGACCAGCAGTTAGCATAATGGCTGTCGCTGGGCTCCCATGTAGTTGACTGCAGTTCGAGTCCTGGATCCGGTGGCCTAAACTCACACTGAGCGCGTGTGCATACATGCCAAAGATCCCAAGAGGAGAATGGAGGAGAAGGGATTGCAGCGTGGCCATTCCCCCGGGGGGTGATTTCTCGCTTTCTGTCTTTCTGGCGAACACACGTGCCCTATAGCAAAAACCTCTCCAAAAAAAAAGAAAAAGAAAAAACAGGAAACAGAAAGGTTGGTCATTTCAAACTTTCTTTACTTGTTGGGTCAAAACTGGGGCATTTTCTTATTACCCTGCTCAGGTTGATTGGAACCTATCGGTGGTTTATGGTGTTGTTGGTTTTGCTTAAAAACAAAAGGCAAACAAACTGGCCCATTCAAAGTTCAGTATGATTATACTGGCACTTAGCATGGGTGACTCCATTCTGGTTTGACCAGGTCTGCTGAATTCTAATGCAGCAGGCTAGTCTAAAGCAATGGCTTTTAGAGTTGTCTAACAGCAGCTTCAGTTTTTACCTCTGTGACAGTATTTTGGTGAGCATACGTAGACAGTGGTATTATCGTAAATATACACACAGTAAATAAAACCTTTTTATCCCACTCTTCCATCTTTAAAACAAAACATTTTCTATTAGCAACTTTTCTGTTTCTGGTAAATAACCCTCTTCTGTACTCCATTTTAGAACATAATATAGTAAAATTGTTTTGAACCCATCCAGTCAAGCTCTTAGATCCATTGATAATGATATTTCCTTTTTTAGTTACCAGTGACCTTCCCATTTCTAAATCTGATATTTAGTTTCCTATGTTAATCTTTTTTGTCCTCTTGGCAGCTATTTCTTCTAAGTTTCTTTTCACCTTTTTTTTTTTTAAGAGAGAGATTTTTGTTATAGGGCACATGTGCTCACTGGAGAGACAGAGACAGAAAGCAAGAAATCACCCCCCAGGGGGGATGGTCACACCATAATCCTTTCTCCTCCATTCTCCTCTCAGAATCTTGGGCACGCTCACAAGTGTGGCTGGCTCGAGTTTTAAGCCACTAGGTCCAGGACTTGAACCACAGTCTACTATGTGGGAGTCTATTAACATAACCATTATTCCATCGGCTGGTCCCTGTTCTCACCTTTTTAATCATTTTCAGTTTCCTCTGCTAACCTGGCCCTCAGAGGTAGAGGACACAAGACCTGATGTCAATGCCAGATGTAGAGAAGAATGAACTTTTTTTATTTTATTCACTCATTTATTTTAATTTGACCAGAGAGAGAGAGAGAGAGAGACAGGGCAAGAAAGGGGAGGGGGGAGTGAGAAAGCAAGCCACCAGGTCTGGGACTTGAACCGTGGTCAGCCATGTGGGAATGTCTGACACCTTAACCACCGCGCCACCTGCTGGCCCCTGGAGTAGAATGAACTTTAAATACTATTGAGGCCAGGCTACCAGACCATGTGAAGGGGGATCTTGGGTAAGGGCATAGGAAATGGACCTTCAAATGATTCAGCATCACCTGTGAAGCCAGGGTTGAACACCACTAAGAGGGGCTGGACCAACATACTCCACCTTCTGGCTCTGCTCTCCCCTTAGGGTCTTGTCACCAGGGCTGATACAGTGGGAGGGGAAATAGTCCCCAAATATGGAGTATCCCATGGCTTAGTACTTGAACCTTTTCTTTGTCTATACCATCTCACCTCATAGCTTTGAGATGTCTTCGTTGTCCTTGGAGACCTCTCCCTAGAATTCTTTCCACTTCTCTCAGTCCTCTGCTGAAAGATCTTAATAGTATCTCCATGCCCATATGTCTAAGAATGACTCCCCGAGCTCCCCAAACACACTTGCCCACAGTCCTGTACACCTCAGGTAAGAACACCCTATGCTTCCTGGAGCTGAGCTGAATCTCTCCAAATATATTTTTGGGGTTTGTTTTTTTTTGTTTGTTTGTTTGTTTGGTTTTGTTTGTTTGTTTGTTTGTTTTGGTTTTTTTTTAGCTTTTGCCACAGGGTGTGTTGTGCTCAATAGGAAAGAGAGAGAGAGAGGGAAAGTGAGAAATCACCCACCAGGGGGAGTGACTACACCATTAACAGTGGATGCTGAGTCATTTGAGGACCCATACCCCTTACCAAGATCCCCCTTCACATGGTCTAGCCTCAGTAGTATTTAAAGTTCATTCTACTCTGCATCCAGCATTAGAACTATGCCCTTTGTCCTCTTATTTCTGAGGGCCCAGGTCAGCCTGTGACCACGAGGGGTGCAAGGGGCTAGGTTCTGCATCAGGTTGGTCAGGACTGCAGCCCTATTGTCCCTGCATCCCCCTGGTGCATGTCACCAGACTGTCATTCTCTGTGAGGAGTTCTTCCCTGTGTTTCTGGTTGTGGCACAAGAAGAAGATGTGTTTATTCTGAACATTAATAGCATATTTTGCTACTCAGGATGGAGTTGTAAAGCCTCATAGTATGAGAGGAAGAAGCCCAGGAGAGAAGGAGGACAACAGAGGAGTCGGGAATGGCTCCACCTCAGGTAAAGCAATATTCCCAGTTAAACATCCTGTCTCCTTTCTTTCCGAAATGCTGGCATTGGAGTTGCTCATCTCTGATTCTGAAGGACCCTCCTGATAGGCTTGCTCATGCTCATCCATGCCTTCTTCAGTCCCTCTCATCACCTCTTAGATTCCATCTCACTTTGGTTTTTTGGGTTTTTTTGTTTTTGTTTTTGTTTTTTAAGAGAGTGTTTTTTGCCATACAAGTGCTTGCTAGAGAGACAGAAAGTGAGAAATCATCCCCCCAAGGGGGGATGGCCACACTGCAGTACCTTCTCCTCCATTCTTCTCTCAGGATTTTGGGTACGCACGCACATACACCTGGCATAAGTGGGATTTTTTGGGTTTTGGTTTGTTTTGTTTTTTTTTTTTGAGAGGTTTTGTTATAGGGCACATGCACTCGCCAGAAAGTCAGAGAGAGACAGAGAGATAGAAAGCAAGAAATCACCCCCCAGGGGGATGGCCATGCCATCCCTTCTCCTCCATTTTCCTCTCTAGATCTTGGGCACACACACACATGCGCCCGGCTTGAGTTTAAGCCACCGGGTCTGGGACTCGAACCGTGGTCAGCTACATGGGAGTTCACGACATAGCCATTACGCTAACTGCTGGTCCCCCTGGCATAAGTTTTAAGCTACTGGGTCTGGTACTCAAACTACAATCGACCACATGGGAGTCTAATGCCTTAACCACTATACCACCTGCTGGCCCCAATGACAGGGACCTTGTAAAGAGATTCTATGGGGCACATCCCAGGAAGGGCTTCATTCCCAGTCATGGATTGGTGACTGGTATGGACCTCGCAGTGTCAGTGCTGTTGGCAGCAGGAAGTGTGAACATACTGCCAGCCTTTGCAGGGCAGGGCTGGAGAAGCTGCCCTGGAAGGTACAAAGTGTACAGATAGCTGCTGAATGTTGAAAATGTTGACTTCCAAAGGGAAATCTTCCTGATTCTCTACCACATGTGAAGCTAAACATTGTATCACTATGGTTCTAACTCTAAAATCGTGTTTGAAATGGAACAGAAAGATAGACATCAGTGGTAAAGGGTACTTTCTTCGATCATTTATTTAATAATACAAAATCAACTTCATTGTCTAACTGCAGGGCATTTTTAAACCAGTCTAAGCACATCGATCCTACAAAGGCTGTGGTTTCCTACAGAGTCTTGTGTAGTGGGTACTGGTTTTTGTTTTGTTTTTAATGTTTTAATTTTTAAATTTTTTTTGCGGCAGGTGTTTTAATTAAAAAACTTATAATTTTGTTCAAATGTAGAAGCTGAATTCTTTGTCATCACAGAAAATGTGGTCAAATTTTTGTTCCATCAGTTATTACTAAGTATGGGACCAGCAGTTGGCATAGTGGCTGTGTTGCTGGACTCCCACGTAGTCGACTGCGGTTCGAGTCCCAGACCCGGTGGCTTAAACTCATGCTGGGCGCATGTGCGTGCGTGCCCAAGATCCCGGGAGGAGAATGGAGGAGAAGGGATTGCGGCATGGCTGTCCCCACCCCCCAAGGCCGGGGGGGGGCGTGATTTCTCGCTTTCTGTCTCTCTGTCTGTCTGTCTGGTGAGCGCACGCGCCCGATAGCAAAAACCTCTCCAAAAAAAGAAAAAAAAATTATTACTAAGTATTATGCGTCTTGTAAATATCACATGATACAGTTTGTTTGTATTAAAAGTTCAAATAAACATGCAGTTAGACCCTAAAACTGTTGATCCAGTTCCTTTCTATGCTTTTAGTGAGACAAGGCAGAAACGAGTCCCTCAGTCACTGCTCTGAAAAGTCGGAATGTCAGGCAGACTTTTATTCCTTTTGCTCCTTCAGGAGATACTAGGGGCTATGGGTTTCCTCCCTAACACACCACTGCATGCCAGGACTGTGGTCTCTGTCAAGAAGATGCTTCAGATTTTCCTTCTGAACTTCTTCGTGGTTTGCTTTGCACTTGAACTACTTTCTATATTTCCTACAAAGGCAATTGGTCCATGAATTGTTTAATCCATTTATTGTGGTAGACAATGCATTTGGGGCTTCCTATTTCTCTGTCTTGCTGACTCCTTTCCTTCAGTAATGTTATAATTTGTTCATATAGATCTCTAAATGGTTTGTCCTTAAGTCCTACAATATATTTACTAATGAAAATTATGGATATTTTGTGTGCTTTATTTTTAGTTAGTGCTACTAAAGAAGGAAGATTGTAGTATGTTGTAATTAGTTCAAGTTCTGAACCAATATTCTTGTTCTTGGTTGCCATCATGTCATCTGTGAATTTTAAAAGGTTCAGCTCTTTGCTCTTCCCACCTTTTATCTTCACTTTTCTCCTGTGTTACTGGTCCTTGCTCTTGTGTGGAGATGAATGGCAGGAACCCTGACCAGCCCTCATTCTCCAACTTAATTTTGAAGATATGCATTTAGTGAACAAACCTTCCAGTTCCTTGGTCTTGGACTTCTGAGCCTCCATAACTGTGACAAATACATTTCTGTTATTGATAAAGTACCCAGTCTGTGGTATTTTGTTATAGCAGCACCAATAGACTAAGATAGAAATTGGTAGGAGACCTAGGGTGTTGCTAAAGCAAATATCTAAAAATATAGAAGTGGCTTTGGACTGAGTAATAGATAGATATTGGTACAGTTTTAAGGTGAATGCTGGAAAAAGCCTGTGTTTCCATGAATGGCATTCAGGATAATTCAGGGAGGGATCAGAAGTAGGGACTGAAGATAAATCCTTAGTCTTAGAGTTATTGAAGCAGTCTATCAGAATGTTGGTAGAAACGTGCCCTGTAAATCCAATTATGATGAGGTTTTATGTGGAAATGAGGAATATCTTACTAGGAACTAAAGGCAAAGCCATTCTTGTTGCAACATGGCAAAGCATTTGACTGAATTATGTGATGTCCTTCCACTTTGAGGAAAGTATTTGAGTGATGGACAAGGATGCTTGGCAGAAGAACTCTCTAAGGAAAATGTTCAGGGTACATCATGTCTCTCTTAATTGATAGGTAAATGCAAGAAGACAGAAATGTGATAAACACATAAATTATAATGAGAAGGTAAACAGAATGTAAAGATTTAGAAAATCCTCAGCCTGGCCAGGTAAAAAATAAAATCATGTTTTGGAGAGAATACCAAGGGTGTGTCCAAGCAACCTTTGCTCAGATTAGTATGAATAGAAGGAAGCCATATACTGTTAATTGAAACATTGGGATGATAACCTAAAAGGCATTACAGAGATCTTGTAGGCTCTCATTCCCATCACAGACCCAGAATACCAGAGCCCTCAGAGTAGAATCATATCAAGGGAGGGGCCCAAGATGCCTTTGTATCTCAGGACTTGCTGCCAAAGATCATTTCAAGTCTCTTTCCCCATATTCTGGAACAACAATTGTAAGTGGTTCAAGTGGGCTCAGCTGTGGCTCTGAGAACTATTCCTTAGGCTATAAGCTGTAATTCTTGCTGGTGTCCATATGGTACTAATCCTTAATTTACTTATTTATTTATTTATTTGTTTGTTTTTTGACAGAGAGATTTTTGCTATAGGACACATGCACTTGCTGGAGAGACAGAGAAACGGAAAGTGAGAAATCACTCCCCAGGGGATGGTCACACTGCAGTCCCTTCTCCTCCATTCTCCTCTTGGGTTTCTAGGCATACACACATATGTACCCAGCGTGAGTCTTAAGCCACCAGGTCTGGTACACAAACTGCAATCGACTATGTGGGTGTCCAACAATGTAACTATTATGCCATCTACTGGTCCCCACATGGTACCGATTCTCTAAGTGCACACAATGCATAAGTTGTGGCAATGTGACCACCTACATCTAGATTTTAGAAGATGTCTCAGAAAGACTTTGGACCCAGGCAGAGAAATGCCATGGAGCTAAACTGCCATAGAAAATCCTTACAAGAGAAGTACCCAGTAGAGCCATGAGGCCAGGACCATCACAGGGAGAATTCATTAGAGCAAAGCATAGTTATCACCCTAGAGGCAGGGCCACTTTAGAGAGTCTTCATTAGAGCATGTTTCTTGGAGCTGTGCCAGTGGAGTGACCTCTGAAACATCAGAAGTATAGAGCCACTGGAGTATGACCTGACCTGGAGAGCTCGCACACTTGATTCTAACTCATGAGAGCTTTTGTTTGGATTGTGACCAGAAACACTCTGGAAGCAGGAATTCCCAAGACCTTGGGGACCCAATTTATGTCCCAATGTATCTAAAAGGTAGGATATGGAGTCAAAGATTATTCTCAAACCTTAATAATTAGTATTGCTTGCCCTACTGATTTTTGGTCTTATAGGAACCAGTTATCTCTTTCTCCTTTCCTGTTCTTTCCTACTAGAATGGGAATGTTGGCCCTCCATTTTATTTTATTTTTTTAAAGAATTATTTAATTTAACTTTATTTTGTTTATTCATTTGTTTACTTTAATTTGACCAGAGAGGGACAGAGAAAGTGAGGAAGCAAGCCACTAGGTCTGGTACTCAAACCGTGTCAGCCATGTGAGAGTCCGGTGCCCTTAACCACCATGCCACCTTCCAGCCCCCCTCCATTTTATTTTGTAAGTACATAGCTTATTTGATTTCACTGGTTCACAACTGGAATCATTTGCTTCAGAAAGAAACACATATGATTTTCACCCATATCTGATTTCAGTGATATTTAAATGTGACTCTGGGCTTTAGACTTTGAGTTAGTATTAGAATAAGTTAAAAAAAAAATGAGGGCTATTAGGATGGAATGAAAGTATTTCGTACACAAGAAGGACATAAATTTTGGGTAGTTATGTATAGAATGCTATGGTTTGAGTGTTTTTGTAAAATTCATGGTGAAGGGCCACCAGGTGGCGTGGTGGTTAAGGCAGCTGGACTCTACATGGCCAACTATGCAATTCTAGTCTCAGATCTGGCAGCTTAAAAAACATGCTGGTGGGGACCAGCAGTTAGTGTAATGGCTGTGTCGCTGGACTCCCATGTAGTCAACTGCAGTTCGAGTCCTGGACCCAGTGGCTTAAAACTCACACCAGGCACGTGTGTGTGCGTGCCCAAGATCCCAAGAGGAGAATGGAGGAGAAGGGATTGCGGCATGGCCATTCCCCCTGGGGGGCGGGGGGTAATTTCTCACTTTCTGTCTCTGTCTCTCTGTCTCTCTCTGTCTGTCTCTCTCTCTCTCTCTCTCTCTGGCGAGCGCACGCACCCTATAGCAAAAAGCTCTCCAAAGAAAAACATGCTGGTGTGTGTGTGTGTGTGTGCGTACCCCAAATCTCAAGAGGAGAATAGAAGAGAAAGAATTGCAGTGTGGCCATTCTTCCAGAACATGCTTTCTCACTTTCCCTCTCTTTCTGTTACTTTCTCTCTTCTCAGCTGACCAATGCACCCTCTAGCATCAAAAAAAAAAAAAAAATGAAACATAATCCCTAATACAACAGTACGAAGAGGTGTAGTTTTGAGGAAGCAATTGAATCAGTAAGTTTCCCTTATAGAATGGCTTCAAGAAGAAATATATCTGTTCTCCTCTTCTGTTCCTTCTACTGTGTTTAGCTATGTAGCAATTTTGGTACAGCATTTCTCCTTTCTGGAGGATGCAGCAACAAGGCACTATCAGAGAGTAGCCTGCCATGGACTTCTATTTTTCTTTTTTTTTTTTTTTTTGGAGAGGTTTTCGCTATAGGGCACGTGCGCTCGCCAGACAGACAGAGACAGAGAGACAGAAAGCGAGAAATCACCCCCCAGGGGGGATGGTCATGCCGTAATCCCTTCTCCTCCATTCTCCTCTCGGGATCTTGGGCACGCATGCACACGCACCCAGCGTGAGTTTTAAGCCACCGGGTCCGGGATGCGAACAGCGGTCGACTACGTGGCAGTCCAGCGACATAGCCATTACGCTAACTGCTGGTTCCCTGGACTTCTTTATTTTTAAGAGAGACTTTTTGCTGTAGGCAGCACACTCACCATAGAGACAGAGAGACAGAAAAAGAAATCACCCCCCACAACGATAGTCACACTACAGTCCCTTCTCTTTCATTCTCCTTGCATTTGGGGCACACAAACACACATTTGTCTGGTGTGGTTTTCAAGCCACAAGGTCTGAGACTCACCTGTGGAGGTGGCCATGTAGAATCCAGCACCATAATCACCACACCATTTGCCGATCCTCCTATTGAATTTGTAACCAATCAAATTTAGGTTTAGGACAAGTAACTTTATTTTTTTTTGGGGGGGGGCAGAGTTTGGCTATACGGTGCATGCACTTACCAGAGAGTCAGAGACAGAGAGACAGAAAGCAAGAAAGCACTTCTTCAGGAGGGATGGTCACAATCCCTTCTCCTCCATTTTCCTCTTGGGATTTTGGACACACACACACACACACACACACACACACACACAGGCAGCCAGCGTGAGTTTTAAGTCACCAGGTCAGGGACTCAAACTGCAGTTGACTATGTGGAAGTCCAGCGACGTAACCATCATTCCATTTGCTGGTCCTAGGACAGGTAACTTTCTTAAACATGTTTTACATGAATATGCCAAAACACAGCCTTTGATCTAATCAGTCCTTGTAAATGCTCTCTTCTTCTCAATTTATGTGAAGATAAATCTTTGTCTGGCTCCTTGGTGAAATAAGTTTTTCATTCCAGGGTCCTTTGACCTTCAAAGATGTGGCTGTAGAATTCTCTCAGGAGGAGTGGAAACGCCTGGACCCTGCTCAGAGGGCTTTATACAGGGATGTGATGTTGGAGAACTACAGGAACCTGGTCTCTGTGGGTGAGGATGACTTTTCTCCAAAAGTTGGGATCTGTCCTTTTGCATCTTTGAATTTTCCCTTGTGTCCCTCTCAAGAGCCCCTGCATTTGACTGAGATTAAAGCTTTGTTGACTCACAAATAAAAATCTTTTTTTAAATCTTTTTCAAGTTTATTTTATTTCTTTTTTATAATTATTTATTTTATTTATTCATTCATTTATTTTTAATTTGACCAGAGAGAGACAGAGATAGAGAAAGTGAAAGTGAGAAAGCAAGCCACCAGGTCCAGGGACTTGAACCCTGGTAGGCCATGTGGGAGTGTCCTTAACCACCATGCCACCTGCTGGTCCCCACAAATAAAAATCTTAATGTGGTATCTAGACTTTTTTTTTTTGAGAAGTTTTTACTATAGGGCACGTGCACTTGCCAGAAAGACAGAGAGACAGAAAGCGAAAAATCATCCCCCGGGGGGATGGCCACACCACAGTCCCTTCTCCATTCTCCTCTTGGGATCTTGGGCACACACGCACACACACACCCGATGTGAGTTTAAGCTGTCCAGGACTCGAACCACAGCCAACTGCATGGGATTCCAGTGATGTAACCATTACGCCATCTACTGATCCAGACATCTAGACTCTTTTTTGAGAAGTTTTTGCTATAGGGCATGTGCACTCGCCAGAAAGACAGACAGAGAGACAGAAAGCGAGAAATCACCCCCCAGAGGGGAGGGCCACACCACAATCCCTTTTCCTCCATTCTCCTCTAGGGATCTTGGGCACATATGCACACATGCCCAGCATGAGTTTAAGCCTCTGGGTCTGGGACTTGAACCACAGTTGACTACATGGTAGTCCAGTGACATAGCCATTACGCCAACGGCTGGTCCCCATCTAGAATGTTTTTTAAAATGAACTGCTTAGTTTAAAGCAATTCTATATCAATGCTATTTTTAAAAGTTTAATTTCTCTCATTAGAGAGAGACATGGGCACCCTCAATAGATTTTCATTATGCCATTGTCCCCTCCAGCAGCCTTCAAGCCTGCCAGTAGCAGTGTGTTTCTGGTCGACTTGGGGTTCAAACTCCATTCAGCTATGTGGCTTCAGCATCTTAGTACAGCACCCAAAATCCTGTACTACCACAATTGGACTGGCATTTGGACTTTAATCACCACTATTCTTCACATGTTCTGCCCCCTTCATGGTACATCATTGGATTGTCTCAAATCTTAAGTATTGGGAACCAGCAGTTAGCGTAATGGCTATGTCGCTGGACTCCCACGTAGTCTACCACGGTTCGCGTCCCGGACCCAGTGGCTTAAAACTCACGTCGGGTGCGTGTGCATGCATGCCCAAGATCCCAAGAGGAGAATGGAGGAGAAGGGATTGCGGCGTGACCATCCCCCCTGGGGGGTGATTTCTCGCTTTCTGTCTCTCTGTCTCTCTCTGTCTGCCTGGCGAGCGCACGTGCCCTATAGCAAAAACCTCTCGGAAATAAATAAATAAATAAATAAATAAATCTTAAGTATTCATAAAACCTTGGAGCAGACTTTTGGGACCAGTAGATGGTGTCATGGTTACATTGCTGGACTCCCATGTAGTCAACTATGGTTTGTGTCCTGGACCCAGTGGCTTAAAACTCACGTCGGGTGCGTGTGCATGCATGCCCAAGATCCCAAGAGGAGAATGGAGGAGAAGAGCCTGTGGCATGGCCATATGCCCTCGGGGTCATTTTTGGTTTGGTTTGGTTTTGTCTTAGAATTTTCCCATAGAACACATGCACTTCCAGAGTCAGAGAGAGAGAAAGTGAGAATTCACCCCCCAGGAGGGATGGTCACACTGCAGTCCACTCTCCTCTTTCCGTCATTCTCCTCTTGGGATTATGGGCATGCATACACAAGCACCTGGCATGATTTTCAGGGTGCAAGGTCCAAGACTGGAACTGTGCTTGGCCATGTGGGAATCTAGCACCTTAACTACCATACTACCTGCTTTCCCCCCAACCCCCTTTTATAGCCCTATGCTTTGAATCAGTGGTTTCTAGAGGAGAACTAGACATCTACTTATTACCATGCTTCCGCAACATTAAAAAGGAGGTTTTTAGAAGTTGATTTTGTGATATGGTTTCTAGATTTCATGTTTATTGTCTTCTGTCCTGTGCTGAAGGGATGGTATTCTGAAAAACCCAGAACATTTCACATGTCTTTGTTTTTATAAACAGGAATCTCTCTTCCTGACCTGAATATTATTTCTATCTTGGAGCAAGGGAAAGAGTCCTGGATTGAAGAGAGTCAAGTGAAAATAATAAAAATACCAAATGGATGGGAATGTATCAAATGTGTGAACACAGGTAGGAGGACTTGAGATGGGCAGAGCAAAAGACACACCATTAACTAGAGTTTAGGAAACTCTACAAGTGGAAGCATTCCATGGGATAACAAAAGTTTGTAACCTATGAGCTCTGAAAGGAAGTTTTTCTTCTCCTCCCCTTACTACTCAGCTTTTCAAATGTGTAAAAGCTTATTCAGTAACCTTCCTGTGGTACTGCAGCTCAGAGAGACAGTCTTTATTATGAAAGACAGTAGATCGTCATCTGCCTTCTGTGAACTCTGGTTATTTGACTCTGAGGGGCATAGGGAATAATGCTTCAAAAAGGGGTTGTATTCTTGGGAGCCAGCAGTTAGCATAATGGCTATGTCGCTGGACTCCCACGTAGTCGACCGCTGTTCGCGTCCCGGACCCAGTGGCTTAAAACTCACGCCGGGCGCATGTGCGTGCGTGCCCAAGATCCCGAGAGGAGAATGGAGGAGAAGGGATTGCGGCGTGACCATCCCCCCCGGGGGGTGATTCCGCGCTCTCTGTGGCTGTCTCTGTCTGTCTGGCGAGCGCACGTGCCCTACAGTGAAAACCTCTCCAAAAAAATCAATAAATAAAGGAGGGGTTGTATTCTTGATTTCACCTGTGTGTTTCCATCTCATGCTTAGTTCTCAGTTTATATAGTCCTGAACTGAGGCTTTGCAATTCTTAACATCCAGACATATCCTGATTCTATCTCATTTCCTGTGCTTGAAATACCTAGTCAGCAGGTGGAAAATATTGGCACACTGGCTTTTTTTTTTTTTTCCATCTGGGACTCCAGAAATTTTATAGAGCTAAGTCAAGGCCTCTGCCTCCTGAGGTGCCTCAAGCATTTTTTGTTTTGCTTTTGTCACATTTCTCAGGTGTGTCTAACACAGGTGTGGGTTGGGACTTTAAGTTTGTTTTGTTTTGTTTTGTTTTAAGAGGTTTTACCTTAAGACGTGTGCGCTAGGGACTGGCAGGTGGCATAGTGGTTTAGGGTGCTGGACTCCCATGTGGCTGACCAAGGTTTGAGTCTCTGACCTGGCGGCTTGCTTTCTCACTTTTCGTTTCTCTCTCTCTCTGTCTCTCTGTGGTAAAATTAAATAATAACAACAAATAAAATTAAGTAAAATAAATAAATCGTGTTTAAAAGAAAAAAAAAAAGTCCTTGGTCCAGGACTCTAACCATGTGTGAGTCCAGTACTGTAACCACTACACTACCTGCTGAATCCAAGAATTTTTTATTTTTTTATTTTTAATTTACCATTATCATTATTCTTATTCTTTAATTTGCCATAGGGTATGTGCACTCACCAGAGAGAGATAGACAGAGAGAGAGAGAGAGAGAGAAAGCAACCCGCCAGGTCCAGGACTCAAACTGCGGTCAGCTATGTGGGAGCCAAGCACCTTAACCACCATGCTACCTGCTGGTTCCCAGTCTTTCAAGAATTTTATTAAGAGGAACTTTAAAGACAGCATAAAAGTTTTCTCTGCAAACCCAGGCCTACATGGGGATCATATCTCAAGTCTTTCAAACTCTTTTTTTTTTTTTTTTTTTTGAGAGGTTTTTGCTATAGGGCACATGCGCTTGCCAGACAGAGAGAGAGAGAGAGGTAGAAAGCGAGAAATGAGGGGATGGCCATGCCGCAATCCCTTCTCCTCCATTTTCCTCTCGGGATCTTGGGCACTCACACACACGCGCCCGGCGTGAGTTTAAGCCACCAGGTCCAGGACTCAAACTGCAGTTGACTATGTGAGAGTCTAGCGACATAGCCATTACGCTAACTACTGGTCCCAGGTCTTTCAAACTCTTAGCTTTTGTAGGCAAGCACACAGCTGCATCTGAAGATCCTACAAAATCTGACCCTCATAGGTTTTATTTTTCTCTCTCCCACTTTGGTGATGATAAAACAAAACACTGGCTCTTCCAGATTTTTATCTTCTCTTACATTGTGTGGTTTCTGAAACTTGCTTTTGATTAAACAGTCCTAGAGTGACTTGTCATCCTTTTTACTTGTTCTGATAACCCACCTTTAGGTCATGCGCAACTTCTTGTGCATCTCTCCCATGGAGTGGATTTAGTGGGTAGCAGAACATTCTTCATGAACAACACTTTGACTAATGTGTTTTAATATATCCTTCTATATGGAGTTATACCCCTTAGGGGCCCTGACTAAAGTGTTCAGCATTCCCATGATACTCAGAAAAATCACCAAAGCATGACCGGCAAGTAGTTCCCATTGATCTGTGGTTCTTTGTAAAGTATCACAAAAGTATCTTTGAATGGCACAATTATAGTGTTTTGGGGGTTTTTTTAGAGAATTATTTTTTAAAACAATTGTTTTATTTAACTTCATGTATTTATTTTATTTTAATTTGACTAGAGAAGGACAGAGAGTGAGAGAGAGAGAGAGCAAGCTGCCAGGTCCGGTACTCAAACCATGGTCAGCCATGTGGAAGTCCAGCATCCTGAACCACTACACCACCTGCCAACCCCTAGAGAATTATTTAAACTTCACTTTTTATTTTTAAATTTGTTATAAGATATATGTGGTTGGTCATCAGAGAGAGAGAGAGAAAGTGAGGAAGCAAGCTGCCAGGTCTGGGACTGGAACATCATTTGGCCATGTGAGAGTCTGGCATCTTAACCACCTGCTGACCCCAACAGTGTTGATCATATTGATGGTCACCTGCTGATGATCAGACTGTTGCCACCTGCTGGCTCAAACAGTGTTGATTATACTAATGGTCATTCTTTTTCTTTTTTTTGGAGACAGGTTTTTGCCTTAGGGTATGTGTGCTCACCAGACAGAGACAAAGACAGCAAGATGGAAAATAATAAATCACTCTCCAGTGGGGATGACCACACCACAATTCTTTCTCTTCCACACTCCTCCCAGGATCTTGGGCATGCACACTCACATGCCCAGCTTGAGTTTCAAGCCACCAGGTTCAAGACTTGAACCTTAGTTAGCCATGTGGGTGTCCAGCACCCGTAACCACCAGGCCACCTGCCGGCCATAGGATGCATGTTTTGAGAGAGCTAATGAAGTTGAATTAGGCCTAGTATGCTTTTTTTTTTAAAGAATTATTTTGTTTAAATTTTATGTATGTATATATGTATGTATGTATGTATGTATTTAAATTTGACCAGAAAGAGAGAGAGAGAGAAAGTGAGAAAGTAAACCGGCAGGCCCAGGATTCAAACCACATTCGGCCACATGGGAATCCAGCACCCTAAATCACCATGCCACCTGCTGGCCCCCTAGACCTATTATGCTTTTAAGTCCACTGTAATTCATTTTGTTTAAGCCATTGCTCTTTTCTTCTTTTTAAAATTTGCCAGAGGGCACATGAATTGCCAGAAAGAAAAAGAGAAGAAGAGGGAAGAAAGTACCCCTCAACAGGACATGCTTATGCCATAATCTGTTCTCTTCCATTTGTCCACCCTACTGAGATTTTGAACATATATGTACAGTACTCAGCATGTTTGTCTTTGTCTTTTTAGAGAGTTTTTTGCTATAGAGCGCATGTGTTTGCCAGGAAGACAGAGAGACAGAAAGCGAGAAATCACCCTCTAGAGAGGATGACCACACCACATTCACTTCTCTCCATTCTCCTCTCGGGATCTTGGGCACACACGCACATGCACCCAGCATAAGTTTAAGCCACCGGGTCCGGGACTCGAACTGCAGTCGACTATATGGGAGCCCAGGGACATAGCCATTGCACTAACTGCTGGTCCCAGTTTATACATGTTCTAAGTACAATATAAATTACACATGTTTTGTTACCACTAACTGGGCAATTAAAAGGTGTTACATAGGGGGTGTGGTGGATAAGGCTGCTAGACTCCCATATCACCAATTAAGGTTCAAGTTCCAGCCCTGATGGCTTCCTTTCTGTCTTTCCCTCTGTCTCTCTCTGGTGAGCATGCATGCCATACAGCAAAATTTAAAAATGAGTAGTTAATTATTTAAAGGTTTTGCATAGATAGGGCATTGCCTTATTGATTGGCTCTTACATAACTGTGGACATGAAATCATATTGTGATTTCTGACTTCTTACCCTAGTTCTTTCTCTTTATAATCTCATTTATGTGACCTACTATGCTACAAGTCAGTTTTCTCGATATATTTTTTATTTCTCATATTGTGTGCTGGCTCTGGAATCAAAGTTTTTGCTTATCCTTAAAGCAATAGTGTTTAGAATTCCAGGCTGTAAGGTTATATAGTTGTAGCTGCTTATTATTGACTTCCTGCTTTTTTCTCAGAGGTTTCTAAAGTGTTTTACTTACTAACTTTTTAAAATAATTATTTCACTTAACTTTATTTTATGTATTTATTTTAATTTGACCAGAGAGGGAAAGATAGAAAGGGAGAGAGAGGGAAAGTGAGAAAGCAAGCCGCCAGGTCCAGGACTCAAACCATGGTTGGCCATGTGGGAGTCCAGTGCCCCTAACCACTATGTCACCTGCCATCCCCTTACTAATTTTTTAAAAAGTATTAATTTAATTTTATTATTTATTACTATTCTTCAATTTGACCAGAAAGAGACAGAGAGCGGGTGAGGAAGCAAGCCTCTATGTACAGGACTTGAACCATGGTCTGCCATGTGGGAATTCAACACCTTAACCACCATACCACCTGCCAGCCCCACTAATTTTTAATATTATTTACAGATGATGGCTTTTTTCCATTTGTGTTAAGCAGTGTAGCAGACATGCACCACATGTTAATATTAGATTCCTATTCTGCATGGAAATAGCTAGCTTTATGGTAGATATTCAGAAAATATTTTTATTTTATTTTTATAACTTTATTTTCTCAAATTCATTTTCCCAGTGCTATTTTTGCTTGCAGCATTTAATTACTGGTTAGCTTATTCATTACATTTGTTTTATTATTTCTTACTTAACCATTTCAATATATTGTGTTATGTCTTAGCATTTATTTGTTCACTATATATGAACTAATAATATATATAATGTATTTTTCCCTATGAGGTCTATATATTTACTAACAATTGTGTGCTTTTGGATCATGCCCTTTTTTCCCCTAATATATCTATAACATGACTGTTTTGGTCATTAAGGTGACAGAAACTAGGCTTCACTAACAGTAATTTGAAATGCTTGTAAATCACCCCCCCCTTTTTTTTTCGTTTTTACATTTTGCTATAGTGTGCATGTGGATGCCAGAGAGAGAGAGAGAGATACAAAGTTAGAAATCACCTCCTAGTGGGGATGGCCATGCCACAATACTTTCTCCCCCAGTCTCCTCTCAGAATTTTGAACACACATGCATATGCACCAGGCATGATTTTCAAGGTGCTGGGTCTGGTACTAGAACCACACAGCCAGCCATGTGAGATTCAGCACCTTACCTCCGTGCCACTTGCTGGCTCAAATCATCCTTTTTACTACAGAATTCTATACCTCATGGGAGCAGGTGGCATGGTGGTTAAGGTGCTGGATTCCTACATTACCAACCACAGTCAAGTCCCAGATCTGGCAGCTTGCTTTCTCACTACTACCTCTCTTTCTCACTCTCTCGCTCTCTCACTCTCTCACAAGTGTACATGCCCAGTAGCAAATCAAAATAATAATAGTGATAATTCGTTACAAAAATTCTATACCTCTATGTTCCTAAAAATTAAAGATCATGGTTGGATGTTATATGTCTGTTAGGTATAAGTATTACTTTTAATGTAGTATTTTATTTTCAATACAAAATATTTGTCTATTGTAATTCATTGGAATCCCATATTTTGTTCTGTCTTGTAGACAAGTCTCCTAAGTCTGTGATCAGCGAATTACCACTTAGAGAGAACAGTAACACAGGACAGATATTCCAAACAGTAATGTTGGAAAGACCTAAAAGCCATGACATGGAAGATTTTTACTCCAGGGAAATCCAGAAAAATATAGAGGACTCAGTGTTTCACTGGAGAAATGATGGAAGTAATTACAAAAGAGGACCTAGAACCCATACAAAAAATCTCAGCAGTAGTACATGTCCACAAGATGAAAGAAGGGCAGTGAAGAAACCTGTTCAAAATAGGCATGCACCCTCACATCTGACTGACCTGCAGAAATTACAAACTGCAGAGGAAGATGAATGTAATCAAGCTGAGAAAACAGTCAACCATTGCTCCTCAGTTTCACCACCTCAGAGAATTCTTCCTTGTATCCAAACAAATATTTCTAGTAAACATGGGAAGGAATTAATTAATTCTTCATCATTTATGGAAGACCAGAAATCACACATCAGGGAAAAACCTTACAAATGTAATGAATGTGGTAAAGTTTTTCATTGGCGGTCAGTCCTCATGATACATCAGATAACCCATACTGGAGAGAAGCCCTATCAGTGTGATTTATGTGGTAAGGTCTTCAGTCAAAATTCTCATCTTTCAAGTCATCGGAGAATTCATACTGGAGAGAAACCTTATAAATGTAGTGAGTGTGGCAAGGCTTTTATTCAGAGTTCACATCTTGCAAATCATAGGAGAATTCATACTAGAGAGAAACCTTACAAATGTAAAGAGTGTGGCAAAGCCTTTAATCGGAGCTCATTTCTCACTATTCATCTGAAAATTCATACAGGAGAAAAACCATATAAATGTGACATATGTGGCAAGGCCTTTAGACAGAATTCATGCCTTGCAAATCACCGGAAAATTCATACTGGAGAAAAACCTTACAAATGCAATGAGTGTGGCAAATTCTTTGGTCAAAGTTCACATCTTACAAATCATCAGAGAATTCATACTGGAGAGAAACCTTACAAATGTAATGAGTGTGGCAAAGCCTTTAATTTGGATTCATTACTCACGCGACATCAGATAATGCATAGCAGAGAGAAACCGTATAAGTGTGTCTTATGTGGCAAGGCCTTCAGTCAAAATTCACGGCTTGTAACTCACCAGAGGATTCATACTGGAGAGAAGCCTTATAAATGTAATGAATGTGGCAAAGCCTTTATTCGAAGTTCCTGCCTTGCAAGGCATCGCAAAAGTCATAGTGGAGAAAAACCTTACAAATGTAATGAGTGTGGAAAAGCTTTTAATTGGTGTTCACTCCTCACTATACATCAAAAAATCCATACCGGAGAGAAACCATACAGGTGTGATGTATGTGGTAAGGTCTTCAGTTATAGTGCAAGCCTGTCAATTCATCGGAGAATTCATACTGGAGAGAAACCTTACAAATGTAATGAATGTGGCAAGGTCTTTAGTCAGTACTCATGCCTAGCACGTCATCGGAAAATTCATACTGGAGAGAAACCATACAAATGTAATGGGTGCAGCAAAGCCTTTAGAGAACGTTCAACCCTTACTAAACATCAAGTAATCCATACTGGAGAGAAGCCTTACATGTGTAATGAATTTGGAAAGGTTCTTTCCCAAAGTTCAAAACTCTTAAAACATCACAGAAATCCTTCCAGGGAGAAACCATATAAATGTAATGAATGTGGTAAGACTTTTATTCAGAAAGCAGGCCTGGTGTACCATCAGAGAAGTCATACTGGAGAGAGGCCATACAAATGTATTGAATGTGCCAAAGCCTTCAGTTCCAGTTCAGACCTTAGAATTCATCGGAGAAGTCATACTGGAGAGAAACCTTATAAATGTAGTGAGTGTAGTAAGGTTTTTAGTCATCGCTCATCTTTAGCACGTCATTGGACAATTCATACTGGAGAGAAACCTTACAAATGTGATGAGTGTGGCAAATCCTTTAGAGTGCGTTCAATCCTACTTAATCATCAGATACTCCACACTCTAGGGAAACCTTACAAATATAATGAATTTCGAGAGGTTTTTTTGCAGAGTTCAGAACCTGTAGAACATCACACAATTTCTTCTGGTGAGAAACCACACAAATGTAATGAATGTGGTAAAAGTTTTATCCAAAGGTCAAGCCTGGTGTACCATCAGAGAAGTCATACTGGAGAGAAGCCAAGTAAATGTCTTGAATGTGGCAAATGCTTTAGGCAGAAGTCTTACCTCACACGACACCAAAGAATTCATTCTGGAGAGAAACCGTACAAGTGCATTGAATGTGGTAAGGCCTATGGGCACTGGTCTTCTCTCAGGAAACACCAAAATATTCACTCTGGAGAGAAGTCCTTACAAATGTAATGAATGTGGCAAGGCCTGTAGAGGTCTTAACTCAAGAATCACCAAAACATTCATTCTAGAGAGAAACCTCAGTCCTTGGTATACATCGAATAAAACATTTTGGTCAAAACTTTGCAAATACACTGAATGTAACAAGCCTTTTAGACATTGTCCTAACCTCTGGATTCACCAAGTAATTTACCCATACATATGAAGTAAATATTGCAAAGTTTTTGGGACCAGCAGATGGCATAATATGTCGCTGGACTCCCACATTGTCAACCTTGGTTTGAGTCCCAGATCAGGCAGTTTGAAACTCAATGCCAAGCATGTGTGCATGCATGCCTAAAATTCCAAGAGGAGAAGGGATTGCAGCATGGTCATCCCCCCTGGGGGATGATTTTTTGCTTTCTCTCTCTCTGGGAAGCACATGTGCCCTATAGCAAAACAATCTCAAAATCAAAACAAAACAAAACACCTTACAGATATATAGCAAAGTTTTAAACTAGTGCTCAATTCTTATTAGACATGACAATATATGTATTGGAGAGAAACCACAGAAATGTAATATGTATGGCAGAAGTTGCACCCACAGTTCAAAACTTGTGCATCTGCAGATAATTCATAGTGGAGAGACACTTCATAAATGAATCAACGAGGGCAAAACCTTACTAGAGGTAAGTCCTTACTTGACATAAGAGTTCATACATAAATCATATAAATGTAATAATGTATGTGGCCTAGGATTTATGGGGTGTGTCACAACTCAGTAGACATTATAATATAAATCTTTTTTTTTTTTGGAGAGGTTTTCTCTACAGGGCATGTGCACTTGCCAGACAGACAGAGAGAGACATAGAGACAGAAAGTGAAAAATCACCCCCCAGAGGGGATGGTCACGCTGCAATCCCTTCTCCTCCATTCTCTTGGGATCTTGGGCACACACGCACACGCACCCGGCGTGAGTTTTAAGCCACCAGGTCCGGGATGCGAACCACAGTCGACTACGTGGGAATCCAGCGACATAGCCATTACGCTAACTGCTGGTTCCCAGAATATAAATCTTTAAAGAGAAACTATACCACTGTAATGTGCATGCTAAGACTTTTACCCAACGAGCAAAACTGAAACATCAGAGTATTCATCCTAGATATTTTACAAATGTAATGAATGCAGCAGGGTTTTTATCAGTTTGTTCACACTTTGGGGTTATGAGATAGATCATATAGGAGAGAGACCATACAAGTATGCTGAACATGAAAAAGCCTTAAAGTAAATGTGTTCTCAGGCTTCACCTAAGCATTTATACTGCTGAGAAACCTTACAAATGGAATGAGGGGTAAATGTTTTAGCCAGTTCTCACAACAGCTACACATCAGAGAATTCACACTAGGAACAATAAGCCTCCTTTTCCAAGACTCAACTTTAAGTATTACATTCTGCAGAATTACTACAAGCCAAAATATGTTTGAATGTGTGATGTCATGTATATCAAAAGAACAGGAGCCATTTGGAAATGGCCAGCCATTTTGTTAATAAAATATTCTATTCAGTGATTTGAGATTTCTTGAAAAGTCTCATTTACTGTTTGTAACTTTCAGTCTAAAGTTTGAAATGTATTGATAGTTTACCTTCCTTGTAGGCCATTGATTTTGCTTTCTGGAAAGAAATTAGTAACATGAGAGGGAGGGCCTTCTCAGTTATGGTTCCTTCATGTCCATGTTCCCTGGTAGCTCCAGGACACTGACTTATAATTCTTATTCTGTAAATTAGAGAGCATAGGTGAGGAACAGATGATCCTATGAACCTGTGATATACAACATCTTGCTTCTTGTTTTTAGAGCACTGTTTTCCAAATACAGGGCCACTTTGGGTTGGCAGACACAATTGCCCAAACAACTCAAAGTGAAACAGAGCAAGTTAGGGTATTGATGGACGGGATTTTCATAGGAAGAGAAGACAGAAGAGACATTTTTGTTAGAAATAATGGAAGAGAAATTGGCAGGCCCCTCCACTGAATGGCAGAGGTAGTGTATAGCAGAGATCAGTGAAAATGTAGTTTGATTCTTGGAAATTGATTCCACTTTATAAGAGACGAGCTGATTCAGAAGAACAAGGATAAGCCTGTTCATGATTAGGATTCATCTTTTTTTTTTTTTGAGAGGTTTTTCACTATAGGGTGTGTGCGCTCACCAAAGAGACATTTTTGTTAGAAATAATGGAAGAGAAATTGGCAGGCCCCTCCACTGAATGGCAGAGGTAGTGTATAGCAGAGATCAGTGAAAATGTAGTTTGATTCTTGGAAATTGATTCCACTTTATAAGAGACGAGCTGATTCAGAAGAACAAGGATAAGCCTGTTCATGATTAGGATTCATCTTTTTTTTTTTTTGAGAGGTTTTTCACGATAGGGTGTGTGCGCTCACCAGACAGAGACAGAAAGCGAGAAATCACCCCCCAGAGGGGATGGCCACGCCACAATCCCTTCTCCTCCATTCTCCTCTCGGGATCTTGGGCACACACGCACACGTGCCCGGCGTGGGTTTTAAGCCACCGGGTCCAGGACGCGAACCGCGGTCGACTATGTGGGAGTCCAGCGACATAGCCATTACGCTAACTGCTGGTTCCCTGATTAGGATTCACTTTTAACTACTAGTATCACATTTATTACTGTCTTGTTCAGAACGTATTATGTCTTGTGGTTCAGTTAATACAGTGTAAACCTTTTTTCCTTATAACTCAGAGAATGATGTTTTTTTCTGTGAGAAAAAACACTTTAGTAGGGTACTTTAGTAGGGTACTTCAATACAAACATTAAAAACAATGTTAGCTCACATGGTTGAAATAATCTGTATCTTTTTTTTCCCAAAAACAACATACATTTTTGGGCAAACATCAGTTCTCCCCTTATTTGTGGGGTATATGTTTCAAGATCCCCTTACGGATGCCTGAAACCACAATTAGTACTGAGCCCTATATGTATGGTTTCTGTACGTTTTTATATGTGACAGTAAAATTAACACAATTAATTTTGTTATTCACAATTTCACATAGTACATCTGTCCTTCAGATCTAAGCAATTTCAGTATATTTTTTTTTTACTTTTAAGTGGAGAACTTTCACCTTTTCACTTAAAGCATTTTAAAACTTCTCTCACATATTCAAATTGCTAGCATCTCTACTTTTATTAGTCAGTTACTACATTGCTTACAGAAATACCTGAGACTAAGTTAATTTAAGTTTATAGAGGTTTATTGCACTCATGATTCTGGCCATGTGGAAGGTCCAAGGCACCACGAAATGTTGGAGGGCAAGATCTTGAACAGAGTAGCTATCTCAAAACCACTCACCTCCCTGTACACACATTCTCAAAAATAGACCCAAAGAAATGACTGAGGGGCCCAAGCAGGTAAGGAATTCTTGAGATTGCCCCATGAAGTTTCATGGAGCCCCAGATACAATGAAAGGGATGCCTTTTATTAATAGCTCCTGAGTTCTTGCAAGTATATGAAGTGTAAATAGAACTAAATAGGTCCTGAGGTCTGGACTATGAGGCAGGTCAGATCTGTAGAAACAGAACTGAACATCAAATGAAAACAGGTGTATATGAAGAGTGACTAAGGACAAAGAGGAAATTTGAAATAAACTTGTTCTCCTATGGATCTTTCCTATTTGGGGGAGTTTCCCAAACAGTATTTCATTTACACCTGTAGGGATTTTCCCTCTATGTTCACTTCACACTCCACAGTCCAGTCCCTTTCCCTTGCTCAAAAATGAAGATAAGGCTCAGCTCCATAGTTCAGGGGTTAAGGGAGTTGGATCCATGTTGTCAGTTGAAATTTAAGTTCTGGCTTTTGTGGCTGGAAAAACAAACCAGGTGTGTGTGTGTATATCTGCTCCAAATCCTGACAGGATGTAGAAGTGGAGAAAAGATTGTGATGTGGCCATACTGTATTAAGGGTGGTGAGTGCACATGCCCTCTGGTGATAAAGGAAATAATACTCAGCTCAGGAGAGATTTGAACTTACAAAAATAAAGAAGATACATTGTGCTTTTCTAGACTATATTGCCAGTCTTATGTCTCACTAAGAGGTGACATTACATATGAGTCTAGAAAACTAGAACATGCTAGTGTTGGCCTCATCATTGCTTGGACTTTGAAAAGAGAACTGGCCACATGATAAATAGTGATTTTTTTTTTTAGTTTTTATTTATTTAATTCCATTTGTTGTTATTATTTTTAATGTGATCAGAGAGAGAACAAGAAAGGGAAAGTGAGAAAGCAAGCTGCCAGGTCCAGGATTCGAGCTGTAGTCAGCCATGTGGGAATCCAGCACCTTTTTTTTTACCACCGTGCCACCTGCTGGTCCCAGTAATTTTTTTAAGAGAGATTTTTGCTAAAAGTACACATGCACTTACCAGAGAGACAGAAAGCAAGACCCATCCCATGGGGGATAGCCAAGCCACAATCCCTTTTCCATTCTCTGGATTCTGGCACACACACACACACACGCACACACACACACACACACGCACATTGTGAGTTTCAAGCTGCCAAGTCTGGGAATTGAACCGCAGTTGACTATGTGGGAGTCCAGTGACAACAATTATGCCATCTGCTGGTCCCAATAGTGATAGTCTTAGTCTTGTTAATTTCATCAACATCTTACCATAAGTTTTGCCCCCACAAATATTTGGTCATAATGTACCATTTTTTTTTAAGAATTTTTTTATTCCATTTATTATTTTTTATTTTGACCAGAGAGAGTGTGAAGGGGAAAGGGAGAGAGCAAGCCGCCAGGTCCAGGACTCAAACCATGGTTAGCCATGTGGGAATCTACCTCCTTTAACTGCCACACCACCTGCCAGCCCCATAATGTATCATTTCTATTAGTGGCATTGTGGCATCCAATATAAGTCCTTTGAAGACTGCCCAGGTGGTAAAAGGTGCTGGATTCCCACATGGCTGACTACAGCTCGAGTCCCGGACCTGTCAGCTTGCTTTCTCACTTTCCCTTTCTCGTTCTGTCTCTCTCTGGTCAAATTAAAAATAATTACAAATGGAATTAAATTAATAAAAACATAGTTAAGGGCCCTTTCTCCTTAGCAATCACAATTCATACTGCCCTGAGCTCCACCCAGTGGCTACTCTACCCCTCACCATCCTCCATCCAAATGGTGTCTGTGAATGGTTGTTATGCTACAGCTTTTCTCTAGAGGACTGCCCCTGGCAAGAGCCATCCATGTATCGCGCATCAGCTAGCACTTGAGTTATTATCTCCTTAA